GGAAGCCTGCTGGCCACTGTCCCTCTCTTTCCTCACATCGGGATCATCTTGCTTTGTGTCCGAAGGATCGTTTCTTTAAGGCACAGCCACCCTTCTTGGGCTCCCATCTCTTCAAAACTCCTGCTCTGCAGTGCATCCTTGACTAATCGCCTGAGTTCATTGAAATCAGCTTTCCTAAAGTCTAGCACTTTCACCCTACTAGTTACCTTGCCCACTCGACGTCTTATGATGAATCTATTATTAGGTGATCACTGTCCCCCAGATGGCTACCAATCTGTAGGTCCCCTACCATGTCATCCCCTGTTGCCAATACTAGGTCCAGTATGGCATTCCCCCTAGTGGGACCGTGTTTCCTCCGGTGTGAATCAACTGCATCTGCATTCCCGTTGTTCCCGATTGCACATTCGCCCCCCAGAATTGGGGCCAATGGGGGCTTGCATTGGTCTTGCAGGTCCCCCCAGAGAGTGCTTTTGGGCTGGCTCGGCATGATTTGCACCAGTTGAGCCCAGTCCAAATCACGCTGGCATCAGAATCTGGCCCTTGGTGGCATCTCAATTTAGCCAAAGCAAACACCCGTGCCCCTGGCCTGTCCTGATATACATGCAGCCTCAGTTCTTGGAGCATCTTCCTTCCCGAGCGTACTGAGCCCTGGCATACCACAAAGGCCAAGGTGTCATTAGTGCTGGCAAGGCCTTTCAATGGGGCTTCCCCATTGCTGGAGCTGTCATCGGGGCCTGGCCAAGCTCACCCCAAAGTGCAATGCAAGGATTTGGGTTTCCAAGCATGGAAATGAGGGATACAGACACTGAATTGCAGCTTCCTGGACCATAAATGCTGGAGGCTGCAAGGAAGAGAGGAACAGGAAAAACCTTGGTCATACCCAGTTCGCTCCCCCTTCCAGCCTCCGTGTGACACAGGAGACCTGGGCAGGATGGGTCTGACCCACGGCAGGTCTTATGTTCTTATGAAAGCGCCTGGGGTGCGTGAGCTCTGGACTTTGGGCTGTCTTCCTGACACATCTGCATGCCTTATGGATATTGCCAAGCAACAACGCCCACCACGAGGGAGGTCGTCCACCCTCCAGATGCCTAAATCACCTTTGCAGACCATCTCGTGGGCGAGCAGTGAGCTCCTCACACAGTATCCTATATCCTCTGGCCGCGGACGCTTCCAAGGCCGGAAACGAGCTGCCGTCGACAGGCACGCAAAGGCTTAAGAGAAACACTCTGCCGCGGTGCATGGAGAGCGAGCCTGTGCCGCTGCTTCCTCCTCTTTATTGCAGCTTTGTGACAGCAGGAGCATTTCCCAGGATTTAAAAGCATTTCACCTTCCTCCCTGAGCAAACATCTGGTTTGAGTTTCTGGCGCGGTGTGCTGCACCATGTCCCGCTGGGTTTCAGCGCTCTGCTTTGCTGCTGGGATGAGCGCGGCATCACCCCTCTCCGGAGAGCAGGTGGGCATCGAGCATGCATGAGCCAGGGATGCTCATCAGGTCCTGGCTTGGCATGCAAAAAATTCACCTCTCTCCCTTTCAGCCTCTGCTCTCTGTAACAGGAGACGGGGGAAGATGGACCTTGCTCCGATGGCAGCTCTTAGGGTCTCCCGGGGCAAGGGAAGGGGCCGGCTCTGCAGTGTCGGGGTCCCAGGACCCCTTTCCTCCGCCGAGAGCCCATGGGGCAAATCCCCGCAGTGCCCTGCACGTGAGCGCTGACAATGCTGATGGCGATTCGAGAGCCTGGGGCTGGGAGCCAGGCCTGGGAAGGCTCCTACCAGACGTGGGCAGGGGAACATTTCGGGGTCGGCTATAAAATAGGTTTACGTTGGCCGCCGTTCACAGAGCCGCTTCGCCGGGACCGGGTCGCTGGCAGGCTCCTGAACACGGCCCGCGAGTTTGCAGGGGGCCGCGTGAGAGAGTGGAAAATGTGGAGACCCTCGCTGGGTTTCCACGGCCTCCATCGGCCTTGCTGAGCCCTGGCCAGATCCTGCTGTGCCTTGCACGGCGGGAAAGCCGTGGACACGCGCCAGGGTGACTTCAGCTGCGTGCTCAGGGGGGGCTGTTTTTGTCCCGGCAGGGGGGCCTCTGCTCTACGACCATGTGAAGCTCATCTACAACTCCACGCAGCTCAACGGCACCCAGCGCGTGCTGCTGGACGACGTCCTGTCCGAGGAGGAGTGCCGCGAGCTCCACCGAGTGGCCACCGTGAGTAGCCGGGACTACGGGGAACAGGGATGACCCCCAGACCCACAGCCCCGTGTAGCAGAGAGTGGGCTAGAGGCACCAAGGGACTAAAAATAAAATCCCAGTCCTGTACCTAGCCCCCAAGCCAAGCTGCTCCATGCTGCATTCGGGGGCACGTACCAAGTGAGCGTAAAAAGCCTTGGGCTCCTGTGTTGGGAAAAGAAAGCTGATGTGTTGGGGGATAAGCTCACGCTCCATACAATCACGAAGGGTGTGAGCAAAGGGACTAGGGAACCACCAAGTCTCAGATACCAGAGCCCAGGGCATCTGAAATCAGGAAGGTTTCAAACCAGCAGGAGAAATGAGACTTTTTTAATGCAATGCATTGTTAACTGGTGGAACTCATCGCCGCAGGATGTAGGAGAAGCTGAGCCAGGTTCAAAGCAGGACTAGATAAATCCCTAGATGGTAGATACAGTAATAGCTATTAAATATTGCAGCCGGAGGTGTTTCCCTTGGCATCTCTAAACCAGTGCTAGCAGATGCCAGCAGATGCAGTCCGCCGGCAATGATAGCTGAGCCCATTGGGCCCCATCAGTGTTGTTCGTGATGTGGGGGTATTTGAGGAGGGGGAGAGCAATGATGCAGATGGCACTTGGGGCTGTTTCATCCCTCTCACCCCTGTCTGCAGGGCATCATGATGGCTGGCGACGGCTACCGCGGGAAGACCTCGCCCCACACCCCCAGCGAGAAGTTCGAAGGTGCCACCGTCCTTAAGGCTCTCAAGGTGCGTCGCGCCAGGTGCCGTGAGCACCGCCCCCTCCCTCATCCGCCCAGCCCACCGGCTCACTCACCGTGTGCCTCGGTTTCCCCGCAGCACGGCTTCGAGGGGCGCGTGCCCATGCAGAGCGCCCGCCTGCTGTACGACGTCAGCGAGAAGGCGCGCCGCATCGTGGAGTCCTACTTCCAGCTCAACTCCACGCTCTACTTCTCCTACACCCACATGGTGTGCCGCACCGCGCTGCCCGGTACGGGGGTGACGCGCTCCGGGGAGAAGGACAGAGTCCAACCCAACGTCCTCGGGGCAATAGCAGCTCGTCTGCACCCGGGAGGGCCCTGGAGCATCTTCTCCCCCTTATCCTCATTTGTCGTGCCCCATCATTAATTGTCGCATTCCTTAACTAAGGGAGGCTTGTAGTTTTCCTGGTGGACTTGGGCCCACAGGTCCCTTGGTGCAACCAATAGGCCTGTCTTCAGAGCAGGGGTCACGAAGAGCAGGCTGGATTCACGCACCTCACCTCTAATGCATCTTTCACGAAGACCAGGCCACATGAATGCACCTCTGATTAATGCACCTCAGCCCAGCCTCACCTGGTCACCATTAAAACACCTTTGGTGCATGGAGCCTTCCAGTTCCTGAGGATGGGGCAATGGCTAAGGGGCAAACCTCAGCTTCATATCCCATCTCAAAAGGAGGGAGGCTGGATGGCAGGATTGGAGTGGGCAGGAGAACCGGAGACAGGGCGGGTGGCAATTTTCCCCTTGCTCCCTGGTTGCCAGCTGCAGGCTGGCTGGGTCCCATAGCTCGGCTGTGGTCTGTGCCAGTCCCCTCCGGCCTTCCCAGCTTGTCTCCATGCCCCCCAAAACCCCTGTAGGCTTGTGCTTGCTGAGCCAGGTGATCTCTCTCTGCAGGCGGTAGGTTGCAGACCCCTGCTTTAGAGGGACAGGATACAACCCTGTATCCTCTACTGAGCACCTTAAGCCTCCAGTCCAGATAGCCCCTTTTTCTCCCATCGCCTTTGGTTCCAGCTGACACCCGGGAGCGGGTGAGGGGTCTCAGGGAACGCGTCACTCCCATCTCATCCCACCCATCCTCCTCTCCTCCCCTATCCCCACGGTCCTGCCTAGGCCAGCAGGAGAAGCGGAACGACCTGAGCCACCCCATCCACGCTGACAACTGCCTGCTGGAGCCCGAGGCCAACGAGTGCTGGAAGGAGCCCCCAGCCTACACCTTCAGGGACTACAGGTAGGCATGCCGGGCCAAGACCCTGTGCATCCACAGGTGCACAGGGGAAAAAGGCACCATCCTAGCCAGGTGTGACTGGAAGGGCCCGGGGATGGGCTTCTTGCACAGCGTCAGCATGGTCAAATTGCACCGACCTCTCTGCCTAGCCCGTAAGACAACCCTAGGCTGGAGGACTGCTTCCCAGAGGTTTGTGGTCTTTGCAAGCATGGAAAATGTTCACTGCTCTTTGCTTAAATCTTGCTAATAGTGATGCTTATGTCTGATCTGAGCTGCTCAACCTGGTGCAGCTTCCAGGGACACTTCTCCAGGTATTGCTGCCACAGGTTCCCCAGTGAGTGAAGACACTGGTTAGAAAACAGATAGCCTTTCCTCCCTGTTTTTGCCTAGCTGACATGGGACCGATGCCGGGGTCCACAAACCCAAAGCTCTCCTGCAAACAAACATCTTAATACAGGCATGCATTGTGTGAACGGTCCCAGCACGCGGATGCGCACAGCTAGATCGTATTCTTCTCCCACGCTTTCAGATTCAATTTCCACATCCTTTGACTGTGGAAACCAAGTCACTCCAGGGGTTGTACCTGGATGGAGGAGATTGCTGAATGGAGGGTGTTTGCAATCAGGCTTACCCAGCTGAGACTGACACTTCCCAGTCCTTTCAAGCATCTTTGTGACATCCCCAGATGAACCTGATTATCCTAAGGCAGCCGACACAACTCCCCATGGTGCCCAGGTCATGAGATTGATGTTTTTCTTAAGATACTGGCCTCTGGGAGGAAGGAAATGTGTCCCTTCTGGGTTTAGATGCAACCCAAAAAAAGCAGGTCTCTAGCAACCCCCCCAGTCCCAGCACATCTCCTGCCTGCAAGGACTGCCCGACCCTTGCAGGACAGGAGAGAATGGAGGCACTAAAGCAGTCGTTCTCAATCATTTCAGACTTGCAGCCCCCCTTGGACAATGCCAGCTCTTAGTTTTCGCTCTTTTTTTTGCCTGCATAAAATAATAAAGCAACTTTTTTCTGTTGCAAAGAACACAAAAAACCCCAATACTTGAAATCCCTGGGTTTATTTGTGAATTAAGTTTGCACACCTCACAGTGCTGACGCTGTGCAGCACCCTCCAAAGGATCTCGAGGCACCCCAGGGCGCTGTGGCTCCCCTGGTTGAGAATCACTGCCCTAACCTATTACAAGTCTGAGTCAAACCCGGCGCCCAGATGTGCTTCCTGCGTCGCCTTCATGGCTCCTCACTGTGCCGTTGTGTCCTCCTAGCGCGCTGCTCTACATGAATGCAGATTTCGAGGGAGGGGAGTTCATCTTCACCGAAATGGATGCCAAGACTGTTACTGTAAGTCAGCCCTTTCTGGGATATAGCGTTTGCGAGCTGGGTGGCTGGGTTTTGTTTCCATGCAATGCCTGTGCCTTCCCTGAGGATGCTGGTGTCGGGCTAGGGGGGCCGTGGTCCCCTGGGAATTGCTGAACCCAAGACTTGCCATCCACACGGCCTGTCTTATCCATAATGCCCGGTGCAGGCATCGCCATCGGTAGCCCCCCGTGGCTTGCATTCCCTGTGCTCGAAAGCTCTGCAGAGGTTTCTTGGCCCACTTGCTCCTGATGTTTTTAAGAGGAGGCTGGATAAACACGTGACTGGGATGAGTTAGTCAAAGACCATCCTGCCTTGAGCAGGGGCCCTGCTGACCCATGTTTTCTATATTCCTCTGACTCTATCCGCTCAAGATGCAGGTCTGCTTTCCAATAGCAGCCTCTGGTCTTAGCTCTGTTCATCTGAGGCACAACAGGTTAAAGCTCTCCCCTTCCCGAGCCAGTCGAGATGCTTCCCCTGTTGGAGGTTTCCTGAGCTCTTGCAGCCCCTCGTGGCCAGACGTGCAGTCGCAGCACAGCAGCTCTGTGCAGAGGTGTGCGATACCCTCTGGAAACGCGTCGCCGCAGGGCTTGGGGGGGCTGCAGGGGTCCGGCCCGCTGCACTCCCCCTCCTCGGGACTTCGGAGGAGAGGCTGAGGGAACTGGGCTGATTGAGTCTGCAGAAGAGAAGACCGAGGGGGATTGAATAGCAGCCTTCACCCTCCCTGCAGGGGTTTGCAAAGAGGATGGAGCTGGGCTGGTCAGTGCTGTCATGGCACGGCACCCCAGGCTTGCTGCACGGCCCCAGTTGAGAAGTGCTGGTCTAGAGAGGGGCCCATTTTCCAAAGAGCCTCAGCTTTTCCCCCACCGTCGCCAAGTTCAGCTTGCATAGCAGAGCTTCTCGGCCTGCAAGGAAGATTGCACCGAGCCTGTTCCTCTGCCCAACCCTGCACTTCCACCAGTCAAGTCCCCCAGGCACTTCCACGGCCCTGGGGACGTTTGCCCACCCACCTCCTCCAGGGCTTGTGTGGGAAGGGTTGGAGTGCAGCCAAGCCCAGCTGGAGGAGGGGAGCAAAGCGAGACCCAGGTGTGAGTCCCATCCCTGCCTGAGCTGCACGGGCCCTGGCAGCTCCATCTGCCTCCAGAGCCTGCCATGCAAGGGTTGGGGACAGCGGGGCAGGGCTGGTCTCCGTGCTGCCCAGGGGGTCTGTGCATCGTGGCGTGTGCAGCCCCGGGCACCTCTCTGTTGCTTCCCACAGGCCTCAATCAAGCCCAGGTGCGGGCGCATGATCAGCTTCTCGTCCGGCGGGGAGAACCCGCACGGCGTGCGGGCTGTCACCAAAGGGCAGCGCTGCGCCGTGGCGCTGTGGTTCACCTTGGACCCTCTGTACCGGGAGCTGGTGAGTGCATGCAGCACGACGGGGGCCTTGTGTAAGGCCTGTCCCATGGAGAGGGCAGGGAAAAGGCACGTCTGCCTCTCCTGGCACCATCATGGGTACAGAGAAGGGCTCTGTCTGCTCCCCGGGAGACCCCTGGATGTTTCCCTAGGCCAGCGGGACCCACCTGTAGCTGCCTCAAATACCACCGAGCAGTTCAGGACATCATGTTAGAGATGAAAGGAAATGCCCAACCAACCCCAGTCCAAGCAGAAACCCCACAAATGCAGGAGCTGTTTTGCATCCTAGCACTGGGTTGTATCCTTGCCACAGACTCCCTTCGCGGCCTCGGCCAAGTCCCCTAACCCGTCTGCACCTTGTTCCCCCACCGGGGAAAGTAGGACAAGCTCCTGCACAGGGGCTGTGGTGAGAAGCTCCTGCTCCCCACAAGGTCTCTCCTGCCCCACACCCATCGTGGGCTCTCCAGAGCCAGCAGACACATGGGGCCCACGATGCTGAAGGGCAGGGATAAGAGGGGCATGCCCGAGGGTCCCTCCAGCCAAGACAGGTGCAGCAAAGCGGTTTTGCTTCGGGAGGATGCTGGGGAGTGAGGACGCCCCGTGGCCGGTGGATGTAATATCCAGGGACGTGTCCCCATAGACCCGCACAGGAAGACAGCGCTTTTGAGGAGCTGGGCACCGTATTCAAATGTGGATGCACTGTGGCTTTATAAAGGGCATCGTGATACTTTCCAGGTCCCTCCAGACATGCCCTGTGCTCGTATCTAAAGCATCTTTCACCATCCCAGACCGGCTCCAGGGCTAATGGATGCAGGCTGGCACTGACGCTGCCTCTCCCTTCTCCGCAGGAGCGGATCCAGGCCGACGAAGTGATCACGCAGTTAGACCAGGAGCACCTGGGCACGGGGGAATTGAACATCAACCCGCGGGACGAGCTCTGAGCCCCGCTTGAGAGACTCTATTTGCTATTTATTTAATATTGCTAATCTAATGAGAACCCGTCTATTTTTGTACAGAGCCTCGGTATAAGTTAACGGGGGGGTTGGGGGGTACCAGAGCGCGGCGCTCCCGCCGGGCCCCCTGGGCTGGGCATGTCTCGCTGCCTGCCCGCACACTCGCCCGCCTGGCCCCGTGCTTCTTGGTTCCTCTCGCATGCACGTTCCTCTGGGCTCCCCGCTGCCCTGGAAAACAGACGTGGGGGCTCAGAGAGGAACAGCATCCTGGTCCCTGCAGGGTCTGGGTGAGGGTGCACCAGGGGTTTGCTGGAGCTGGCTGTGCTTTCCGTGCCCTGTCCCTTCCCGAAGCCTCCGCACTTTGAGCACTGCTGTCTGGGACCCCTGGGATGGCTAGGTGATGGGCTCCAGCGTTGTGCATGGCCAGTTGGAAGAGGGGGCATGCAGCTGAGCTAGCACAGCACTAGGGTGCTGTTCACCCCGTGCAGGTGATGTCTGCCCTAGAAAACTGTTTAAATTGGTCTTTTGCTATGTACAGCACCTGGCGAGGGTCAGTGCAGCGTGGACCCACTCTCCACACAGCCTTGTGGGGATGGTGCCAGGGCTTGTGATCCCTCCGGTTGCTCTTTCTTTCCCCCTTCGCCCTCCTGCCAGCATTTCCAAGCTTCTTGGCACCTTGAGCCAGTCCTTTCTTTCTCTGCTGCTAAGCCCGGTCTTGTAGCAGCATCCTGCTGGTTGGAGGAGCTGTGTGCAGAGAGACCCATGCACAGGGGGGTATTCCCAGTACTCCCAGAGCCCCCCCACCAGCAACTTGCAGCCATTGCAGAGCTTGCACCATGTCAGTGCAGGCGGTCTGGGCTTCATACACCTGCATGGACCAGGCAGCTAGGCAGGAGGGCCACGGGCTCTGGGCACAGAGGCAGCAGCCATGTCCCTGATGCTAGTCGGAGCAAGGGCACCCCAGTCCCTGAAAGGCCCCGACCATAGGGCTGCTGCCATCAGTCCCCAAGGTCACACCTTAGCTGCTGATGGGCTCTCCCTCAGCCCAGGCCTGATCAGACGCCTCTTGGAGAAGCGCTTGGCACACGGGAACAGGCTGTGCATGGGAAACGCTCCCTGCTGGAAGCCGCTGCGTTACCCTCGCGCACGGGGTTGGATGTACACCTCGCTGCTGGCTGCACCGACGCCGCGGGAGCACCGTCGAGGGTTGTGCTAGCATGCACCTGCTGCATGCCTGCACCCAGCTGCCTCTGCCCTGCACCCCAGCACGTGGAGGGGCACAGCCGGGGCTGTGTGAGGGAGGTTGGGAGCTGGCACTGAACCACAGGAGAAATAAATGAGCCACAGTCAGCAGCCGTTTCCTGGTCTGATTGATCCCAAAAGATGCGGCAACCAGGACCATGGGTTGACAGAAGCAGAGAAGCAGCTGGGCCCACCAGAGCAGAGACTGGTGTCCGCCCTTCAGTCTCCTGTGACAGGTACGGGGGTGTTTCTTCAGCCCTACTGTGCTCTTGCTCCAAACACGAGCCACTGTCCTGGCTTGGGGGCAAGGGTACAGGAAGCCTCCTGGCTGGGCAGCAACCCCGCTGCAAGGACCTCCTTGGTCAAGTCCCCTAACCCGTCTGCACCTCAGTCTCCCACCGGAGAAAAAAGGATGAGCTGCTGCACGGGCAGGCAGCCTCGCTGGATGATGTGCACTTGGTTTTCAGTGCACTTGGTCTTTGCTGCCTGCTCACCCTAAAAAAGCAGGGGCAGGACTAGGACCCCCAACCCTCAATGCTCCCAGCTGCTGCCCATCATGGACACCTGTGTCATGCACCCGCTGAGGCTGGCACGACCTGGCCCAGGGCAGCTACTTCAGCCAGGTGTTTTCTCCACCCCATCCACCACCCACAAAGCCTTGGCCCATGGTCCAATTTTTTTTTTCCAACCTCTTCTTTTCATTTGCTGAACCCTTAAAATGTTTTGAATGATGGTGTGAACCTCATTGAATTGTAAGTAGGGTGTTCACATACTTCTGACTGATCTTAGTCATCTTGTGTGGATTCTCTAGACACAGTCCAAGGGTCCGCAGGGGGGCTGCAGACCCCGGGGTGACAACCAGTGCTCCAGTACATTAAGTTTTTCTTTCAAAGCACAGGGCACTGCACAGCCCCAGCAGAGCCCAAGCATCAGGCAAGCTGTAAAGTCTGAGTTTAGCTCTGTTTGCAATGCTAGGGTGAAGAGGCAGTGTTTTGGGGAGTGCAGGGGCTTGCCCCATGATGGCCACCCAGAGTCATGTTGGACCACTCCTCAGCCTTGCAAACCTCCCCTGTACCCAGTGTGTCGGGGGGTGACTGCACCTACTAGGACAGGTGACGGGGGCACCAGGAAAACCTCACCAGTCACATGCAAACACCTCCCGCCTGCAGACAGGAGCTCCTGCAAACCCCCTCACTGCTGGGGCCATGCCAGGATCCCTGCCATGGTAGAGCAGGGAGCTAGTGCCTTGGACAGCCCTTGGAAAACCTGCCCAGCTTCAGCCCTGCTGCCAACAGGCCTGTGCCCCAGAGACACCCAAATTAACCCCTCCTGTGCTGAGGTACCGCAGTTACATGCTCTGGGGCACAGTTCCTGGTGCATCCAGTGTTAAGCATTGGCACCAGCCCTCTGCTGCAAGCCTGAGCAAGCCCTCCCCCCAGGTTCCCGGTGTGAGCTGCTGCAAAGTGGCCATTACCAAGCTTGCATATTGCCATTCATATGGGGTCCTGCCCAGACCGTGCTTTCCCCTCGGCAAACAGGGTCAGCAGCACCCGAGCCCTGGAAGGCAGCCCAGGGTGTGCCAGCTGCCCCTGGCATTAGGTGTGGTTTGGCGCAGCCGCCACGCACGGGGCAGTACCCCTCCTAGGACTCATACTAGCACGTATGGAGGGATTAGCCGGGGCTGATTCACAGCTGTAAAAACACAGCATGGAGGAAGCTGCATGACAGCAGGCTGGGAAAAACTCACCTGGGCCCAACAGTGCAGGTAGGGGCACAGGGCAGGGCTACAGCACTCCCTCAAGAGGCTTTATTAAGAATAGGATGTTTCCTTTGCTTGTCACTGATGCTGGCACCCAGCTCCCCGGGACCAGCCCTGGGTGCTAGCGGTAGGGCTTTGCATTGGTTTCAGAAGCAGCATGTATGCAGCTGCCATGTGCCTGGGGGGGTCCAGCCCATGAAAAACCATTCACACGGCTCCTTCAGCCCGCTGCGGCGTGGTCTTATCCCCGCAGGGGCTGCCTCTGCAAAGGGGATATCCCCAGAAGAGCCACTACACCCCTACATCCCCTTGTGAGGGGCGACTAAAAGCTGAGGATTGGGCACAGCTGGCAGGGGTGGGGGGCTGCTAGCCAAGACCCTGAGTGCAGGGGGAGCCAACACAGACTGTTTTTTCACCTTTCCCTGGCATCTCCTGGGTGGCTGCAAATGGCAGCACCAAGCAGCGGGTGAGCTCCTTCTGGGCAGGGCTAACCCCACCTGGCCCGGTCCAGACTTTGCACAAGCAGAGGCTGCTCACACCCGGTAGCACCGTAGCTGATACCAGCAGGAGCAGTAGTTGCAGCCGCCGGTCTGGGCTGCTGCATCCTTGCAACCAGGACAACAGTGAAGCATGCATTAAAATAGACACACACATACACACACGTGTGTGTGTGTGTGTGTGTGTGTGTGTGTGTGAATGCGTGTGTGTATGTGCGTGTGCATGCCTATATCTATATGGGTGTGTGTGTGTGTGTGTATATTCATGTATGTATGTATATGTATGAATATATATAGTATATATATAGATGTATGTACTATATGTAGCTTGTACACACATACACAAACACTATAGTGTGTGTGTGTGTGTGTGTGTATATATATATATGTATGTGTGTGTGTGTGTGTGTGTGTATATATATATATGTATGTGTGTGTGTGTGTGTGTGTGTATATATATATATATATATATATAATGTGTGTGTGTCTGTAGCTAGATACATATCTCTAGCTCTCCGTCTGTAGCTATCTCTATCTCCCTCTCTCTCTCTAGAGGGGAGGGGACATACAGTAGCTGGCTCCGGGCTAGGGGCTTCTTCTGTTGCATCGCCAACCTGGCCAGAAGAGCCTTTCCCCAGAGGGATGCACACCCCTCACCCCCCAGGCTAAGCTAATGCATCCTGTCAGTCCCCAGGTCCAGGTTAAAGCAGTGGGGCTCAACCTTTTCAGCCTCAAGACCCCTGCAGCCAACTCAGAAAATGCCAGCTCAGCTTTCACTCGACTTTTGAGCGCAGAAAAATAACGCGGTTCTGCCGCTGCAAAGACCTCCACAAGCCCAGAGCCGAGCAGAATAGCTGTGACCCTCTGGACCCCTATTTGAAGTCTCTGGGTTTATCCGGCAAAGCCTCGTTGGTCACCGAACACTGCTGCAGCAGCCTGGGAAGGGTCTCGAGGCACCCCCTGGGTGTCGCAGTCCCCTGCTGAGAGTCAGGGGGATGGAGAGGAGCTGATTTGGATTTGAGGATTTGATCAGGCCCGAGACAGCGTGTCCTGCTGCTGCTGCTGCCCACCTGGGCTACAGCCCCAGCACCTGCTTTGCTCTTCCAGCCGCCCAGGGCGTGCCTGGGAGGGAGCCATGCGCTGGGGCAGCAGCTGGGACCTGAATGATCCCAGCCCGGCAGTCCAGTTGCCCTCAAACAGCAACACTTGCCGGGGGTCCAGGCCAGCTGGGGACTGGGGAGCAGTAGCTCAGGCTGAGAAAAGGAGCCAGATGGAGGAGAAGCAGCCTCAACCCCCTCTTCTTGCTGCCTCTCTTCGGCTCTCCCCAGAGCAGGGCGCATTACCCACGCAGCGCGCCAGCTTGCTCCCTCCCAGCCCAGCGTCCCTCCTCGTCATGAAAACCCGGAGCTGGTTCTCTCCGTCCTTCCCCCACTTTGCAACACTGAGTCTCAAACACCTCAAATGGTGCCCTTTTAGGAGAAGGGAGATGTGGGGTGCAGGAGGAGCAAGCTCAGCACCTTGGGGGTGAGGCCTCTGAGGTATCCAGGCCCCTAACTCCTTGGACAAGAGGACCAGGGCCTGAGCTCTGCCCCAGCTCCTGCTGACACTGACAGATAGCGACTTTCCCCGTACCATTATGTATGCTGCAAACCTTTCACATGCATGCACTCAAGCACCTCTTTTATAAACTGAACAAACCTGGCCTCTCTCATCCTCATGCAGATGCCCCTCCGCACCCCGGATCATCCTGCTGCCCATCTCTGGACCGTCTCTAGTTCTTCTATATCTAATTTCTGAGGCATGGGGACCACAACCGGGTGCCGTGTTCAAGGTGTGGATGCACCATGGGTTTAAAAAGGGGCGCTGTGATGCATCCTGCTTTGTTCACAATTCCCTTCTTAATAACCCCCAATATTTTGCTTGCCTTTTTGAGCCCTGAGCTGTTGGTTTTAGCGAACCCTCTGCAATGACTCCCAGATCCCTCTCCTGGGTGGTAGCAGCTAATGCAGAGCCCATCATAACACAGCCTGTGCCCTTACCAGCGATGGTTGTGACAACACGGAGCAGTGATCAACAGCCGCCTCGCACGTGGGAGCCTCGCTGCTTGCTCAGAGGAGGCTCCAGGCTGGTTAAATCCCAGAAGCTGCCTTTTGGGATGGCCTGGGCATCACTGGCTGTGCCAAGAGACCCGGCACCCACCCAGGACCGAGAGACACGGCCATCATGCAGTCGGCAGAGCTGGCAGGTGAGCCCAGCTCAGCCCGCAGTCCTATTCCCAGGGAGATAAGCAGTGAGAAATCCCATGTACAGCTATGGAGGAGCTTGAAACCCTCATGCAGCCACACATTGCAGCTGGCGAGGTCCAGGGCTGGACTCTTGGGCATGGTTTGGCACTCGGGAAGCTTGCAGCCCTCGCTCGCAGGCCTCTTTTATATAATACATCAGTCATTGCACGGATCTGCTCCTGCATTTCGAAAGCCCCGGCGGAGCAGCGCAGGGTGAAGGGAGGGATGGTCCATTGCTGACTACCAGCTGGACCAAACGAGCAGATGCTCCTGTAGCACTGACCAGCCCATTCAGGTCTAAACCCTGCTGCACCAGCACACGGTGAGATCCGGCGCCTGCTTTGAGCACCTCGCACGGCCGAAAAAAAAGAGGGAGCTGTCAGACCCCAAGTGCCTTGTGTGAAATGGGGGGAACACAGTGAGAAAGCTGGTGAGAGAAACCCTCAGGCTCATGCTTTACCCCCGTGCCTGAGAAAGCTGTGGAGCTGGTGCTTCCTACAGACCTGCAGGGTTTACTTGCATGGGTTTTGCAAGCTGCTAACGCTGGGCACAGCTGCTGCCTTTCTGCCCAGCCCAGCCCCGCCTGG